ATAAAAGAATATATTCATAGAGTGTGAGTGTGTGTGTGTGTGTGTGTGTGTGTGTGTGTGTGTGTGTGTGTGTGTGTGTGTGTGTGTGTGTGTGTGAATAAGATAAGAAACTGTGGACAAAGCGAGTTTGTGACGATCAGATTTAATTTAAATAATCATCAATCGTCTATACAAATGCTGTTTTCTTTTCTTGATTGGTCGACGGAAGAGAAACATTATCTGCTGTCACGTCGTCGAAATTTAAACTATTCTTGACAACTCCTTGCCAACACCCACGTTCTACCCTAGCAATTTGCCCGTCAGCTACTTCTACTACCACGGCCTTGATAACAAGAAATAATAAAAATCACCGCAAGCTATTTCTGTCCATGATAATGTGTTACAATCTCTTGAGACCTAACCATTGCAAAACGGAAAAGTGTGTAGTGACGCGTTTTGTTCCAAGAAGGATGTTCTTCAGACAAAGTAACGGTTTTATCGATGGAAACAATCTTATATATAAAAAGGAAACGAGGGGAGAAATATAACACCGGTTACAATTTACATTGAAACGTTAAAGATACTGAGATGCTCAGCTTTAAATTTAAATTTTGACATACGATCAATTTCAGTTTTGAACTTAGACATTTCGTTTATCATCAAATTATTATCCTTGACTATTCCATATTGTCGGTGAGTCACTTAGAAATTTAAACGAACGATTATGCGAACATAACAATGATCTTTTATAAAAAATACAGGAGTAGAGGTTTATCCCTTGCTTCCTAATTAAGATTGGGTTTCCGGTTCTATTTCAATTCAATACTTCTAATGTTCCTGCCAACACTGAAATTTATTTACTATTTATTTTTTTTTCTCAATAAGATTAGATGGGTTCACCAATCGTCCAGTTCACACCCTACCAGGTCTTTTCGAACAAGAGCAGAGGTTTATCTCTTGTTTCTTGTTCAGGATTGGATTTCCGGTTCCTTTCCAATACCTTTTTATCTTATTTACTCCCAGAAACGTATTTGTGACATTATTGCTTTGCTTATGCTGAATTGTTTTTAAAACAAATTTATATACAGAATGCATTAGCCGTTCATCGTAAGTGCAACTATAATTTCGATTTAAGAATGCAGTTATAATTAAAGGAGAAAGTAATTTATTGAGGCCAAAATCTAGTGAAATATACTAATTTCGGAATCATCTAGCGGTAGTAAAACACATTTTTCTTGAAAAAGCACGTCTAATATTATGTAAACAGTAACTTTTCTGTTGGATTTTCTTTCTTTATCACACTCTCTTTTTGAAGAGGATTTTTTTTATATATGATTAATGTAATTAGTACTTAGTCTATGTGTGTGTCTGCTTGACATCTGACATCTAAACAAGCCGTGAGTTTATGTCATATTTATTCCACTTTTTCGACCAGATTACTTGAACTTTTAATACGTGAAGGGCTTGGAGAAACAATTCATTCTTTACATTAAAAATTCAGGAAGCCTCGTCGACAAACTAAAAAACATATATATATATATATATATATATATATATATATATATATGCTCGCGCGCGCACGTGTGTGTGTGTATGAGTTTGTGTGTGATAAAAATATAGTTTTAAAGCATGCTATATGTATGGATAAAAGTGCCCAATATGAGGGATATAGAGCGTGTATAAATATAAAAGTGGACAGTCAGATCAATACCGAATGGTGACAGTCAGTTTCGTCCTTCAGGACACACACACAAACACACTCACACTAACACACACACATATATATTTGATAAAATAAAGAAAACATACACACACTCACACACACACACACACACACACACACACACACACATATATATATATATATATATATATATATATATATATATATATATATGACTTCAAACGTTATTTTTAGTATATAACTGTATTTGAATAAAGACTCTGTTTATTGTAGCAATCGGCCTGACGAATGTGTCCAGCATGAAACAGCCTGTCGCCTCTGAGTGTTGACTTCAATGTTCACTTTTATATATATATATATATATATATATATATATATATATATATATATAACATGTAATGTTAATTTCATTCGCTGCATTTAATGAGGTTTTCTCGTTTTTCTAGTTACTGACTGTGGGTTTGCAAACGCAATTTGAAAGAATTAATATTCGAACTTTTACTAGTATATGTATACATGTTTGTTCCGGCGCTCCTGCGGGCCGTAGCTTGATTCGGAAGTCAAATACGGGATTTTTTTTAATACAAGTAGATAGGCTCTCCTATCGCCAGGTCCTTACTCCTCCATCTTCTCTTGTACAGGACTAGTTGCTCATCCATTGTTTTCTGTTCAGGAAGAGGTTCCCGGTTCCTTTCCTTTCCTCGGGCCTTAATAGTGGTGCTGCCATTAATTTTTTGTGACATGCGTGGATGGTGGCAACATCTCTTCATGCTATTCGTACCGTATCTGTCTATATTTCTGAGATGATGTATTATGTACACTATTTACATTATTCGAACTATTGTCCACATCTTTGTCGCCATATTTATTAAAACGTTTCGGCCGTTGTACACTTCGTCCTTCTTCGGGTGGTTGGAATGTCAAACTGAACCCTTTATTTCGCTCGCTGGGGTAGACTGTTCTAGCTCCACGTGCCATGTCTAATGTCTGTCAGTTGTCAATTATCTCCTGTTTATCCTCAAGGAGACATGGCACAGTAGATAAACGTGTTAGTTAGATCCAGTGACAGGACCCAAAGAGCGTGAGTTCAATACCTGGTTAAGGCGGTGGAGATCTTGGAGAGGAGAATTAACAGGAGATAACTGATAACTGACATCCATTACACATGGCACGTGGAACTAGAACAGTCTACCCCAGTGAGCGAAATAAAAGAAAAGTCTTGGGACATCTTAACTCTCTGCGAAACTAATCTTCAATCCCCTCCTCTGATTTCTAGTTTACTAGCTACCTTCCTCTCCTTAGAAAGGACTCTAAAGGCCACATGCATGCTCAGGGAGTTTATGTCTGGGAACATTTGCTAACTAGGGAAATGTCTCTTAAATTTCCAGATCATTCGTACACGTGTCTCCGTCTCTCTCTACATAACTCAGTTAGCTATCTCTTCTTTTTCTACCGTTCCCCTTTCTCTCATGATAGATAGTATTTCCGATAAGATAGACAAGGCCATCTCCCTACATCCGCTTGGAAACCTATTCGTGTTCGGCGACTTTAATGCCCACAATACCAAGTGGCTTAAAGTGTCACTGACCTCGCTAATTTCTCAGTCATTCAATCTCTCACGCAAGTGGTTGATTTCCCCACGCGTTTCCCCAGTAACCCAGACGGACACGCTTCTCTTCTCGAGCCCTTTTTTTACCTCTATCCCTATCTTATCGTACTACGCAGCTCTGCCCTCTTGGCAACTCTGATCATGCGGTAGTGTTTGTGTTGGGGCGCACCTACCTTCTCATCAGAATGGACTGATCTCTCTACTACCAATAGGACAGTTCTATAGAGTTTTAAGAAGATCAGGTGACTATCACACTTCCGTCTCTCTACCGGAAGATACAGTTGGACTTTATACTCCACTGTTGAGATGTTGAGTGTTTCCGCGTGCGTGTATTGAAATAAGGACAAACACATACGTAGGGAAAAATACTGGTATATCTGAAGAGGTATGTACAACAGAGAGATTAGTAGTCAAACGAACGCAGGTTAGTCAGTAACAATCAGAAAGACCACTTTAAGGTTTCATTATAATAATTTATTTCACCAGAGCCCTTTTAAGGGACGTTGGATCATCAGATAACACTTCCAAAAAAATATGTATATGTATTATAATATTTTTCCATACGGACAAAAACAATTAGTCACAACAAAGATGGATTTTTGTTTCGATGCAGAGGAGCATTTCGACGGGTGAGGAACGAAGATGGTTATGACCGATCCTATTAAAAAATGCCGCCTATGACCCATCACTTTCCTTTTCTTGTTATTCAAATTGTTTTGGGGGAAAACACATAAAAAATACATTCCGTAAAAGGAAAAAATACATAGAAGGGTTTTCATAAAAGGAAAAGAAAAAATAACAATAGTAATAAGACGAAGAAACTAGTAAAAATAAAGAGAAGAGGTTAAGAAAGCCAAAGAAGGAAAAATGATGGGGGGAGAGAAAGGAGAGAAGAATAAGAGTTAAAAAAAAAAAGAAATAAAGTAACATGTCAAAAATTCCAACGAATAAGATCCGACTCAAATAAAAAAAATTCTCACCCACTTAAACTCTACGCATCCTTGTGGGTGATGAATAATTTTCCACCCAACAACTCCTTTCCCAACAAAACATCGTGTGCTTCTCACTACTTTATCAATGTTTCCATGACATGTGTTCTGATGAGATGCATTCATTGGTTTCACTAGTTCTGACCTTTACAATTGGGGCCCACCATAACACGTTCACAAGGATGAATCATCCCGATTCTTTTCGTATTCCATTAGTAAGGAGTAAGATCCACTCGGATAGCTTCTTCCCGATAACTGTTGCTTTGTGAAAAAGATGTTTTCCCAATCGTTACAATTTTGACCTCTTCAAGTCTAGGCTTAACCACTGCCTTTCCTACATAACTTCATGAACTTTACTTTTTGCCTTTTCTTACGCTTATACAACGCCACAGTAATTCTCTACCTTGAGTGGTTCTTGGGCCTTGCAACGGGTGAACATTGCTATAAAAAAATGTTTCAGCTTTGCAAGTTTACACAAATTTATTAACCTATTTGACGTTAAGAATACCACGCGCTGCTTGTGACAAAGAGAATCCGGTTACAGCCAGAAGAGAACTCTCCTTAAACAAACGCTTTTCTTCCATCGAACAATAATAACACATGTTACCTCTTACTGGTTCTTTTCTATTCGTTTTTATCATTGATCCTAAACTTTGTTGTTGTCATTCTTACTTTTATTTGCTTTTTTCTTTCTTTCCTTTTCAGTTTCTTACCATCTCTTCTTTCTTTTTTAACGACCTTACGGCCATATCACGTTGAAACATCGGTTTTCGTCCGATCACTGAAGTTAAGCAACGTCAAGCCTGATCAGTACTGAGATGGGTGATCGCTTAGGAATACCAGATACTGTAACTTTGGATGTGCGGATGGTGCAGTCGATAAATGCTAAATCGGAGTGCAGTGTTCCAATTCCAGTCGTGTTCGTTATATTCACACGCGCAAATACACTTGGAAAAGGTATGGATCTACTTCTTCTCCCCCAGCTATGACTTAATTCGTAGAAATTGCATCCGTAAAAATTATTATCTCAAAATGTTTTTTACAATCTAAAAATATTTTCTGAATTTAAATAACCTGCAAAAGGTTGACAGCCCATAAAAAACAAATCAGTCATTTTTTTTCTGTTGGTTCTTCATTTATTCATTATTTTCTCTACATTTCTCTTTCTATTTTAGCAGTTTTTTATTATTATTATTATTCCATTCTCATTTCTGAACTGTTTCTTCTTTCATTCACGAATTCTTTCTTCTTTCATTTACGAATTCTTTCTCAGTTTTTATTTCATTTTATTGGCTTTATATTCTCTCCTGTTTAGTTATTTTTCCTCCATATTTATTTCTTGTACCTTTCTTTCTTTCTTTCTTTATTTCTTTCTTTCTTTTTACTTGTCGCCTTTATTTGCATTCTTTTTTCTTCTTTCCTTTTGTTTTTCTTCCGCCTAAATATTTTTGCCCAATCCTACTTTGTATTTTACTCGTTCTTTCTTTCTATCTTTTATTTTCTTCCTCTTTTTTTCTCATTATTCTTTTCCCTTTGCTTTTCTTCGGAAGTCGTTTTCTTTTCTTTCTTTCTTTCTTTCTTTCTTTCTTTCTTTCTTCTCTTATGTTTTCCTTTCCCTTTTCAATGCTCTAACCTTCTTTTCTTTCTAGTTTGACTATTTCTACCAATGTATTTGTATGTACAGTGTTTGGGCGTTTATTTTATTTTATTTTTTGCACGAGCAAGCAGTGTTCGTAACCCAGTAAAAACGACATTATTAATAGATCTCACGAGTTATACAGTATTTTACTTCCGCGTACACCAATATACTAGTAAAGTCATGAACTTTTTTAATGCCATATCCTTTCAGGATGTTGGTTACCATTCCTCTCCACAGATTTCTTTTTTTTTCTGTGAATTATAGTGCAGTGGTTTCCTGTTACTTTCTCAATGGTTTTAAAGATTCACTTCTCTTCGACTAGAGCAGGTTCTACCCTCTGATATTTAACTCGGATACAACAGGCTAGACTAGAACTTGAACTCGGTTTGCCGATTCTACTTCTCATGCCGGTAACTGTTACGCGCACAAATGAGCAATAAACGTTTCTTTCTTTCTTTCTTTTTTATTTCCATTCAGTTTTCTCTCTCATTCTTTTCTTCTCACTTCTTTGTTCCCTTTCCCTTTCTATTTTCTCTCTTGCCCTTTTCTTTTTTTTACACTCTCTTTTTTCTTGTTTCCCGGTCTTTCTTTCTTTTCCACCTTTCTTCTTCTTCTTCTTCTTCTTCTTCTTCTTCTTCTCTGCTTACACTCTCGTTTTCTCTCTTTTTTTCATTATTTTTACGCTAGGAATTTGCAACAAAAAAAAATCAAAACTCATGGTTACCCCCCTCATATCTTTCGTAGATTTCTCTTCAAGCAGTGATTACGATTATATGTTTTTTTGTTGTTGTTTTTTTTTCTCCCTGATTGCATGGTACCTCATCTGTTTGCATCTTCTGATATAAAAAAAATCCTTGTTGTTTCTTTAAGTCTCTGGTTGAGAATTGTGGGTAACTCTTACTACACATTTACAGTTTTGTCAAGAGGCGTGTTTATTTATGAGGGCGACAAGCAGTTTGAACTTTGGTAATAATATTTGCTGTTTACAACGCCATTAACCTTGGGGAAATGCTTAAATAAACTTCTTCTGTTGACAGTTGGTTGATTCAGTTCAGTAGAGAAACTAAAATTTGTATCAGTAAATAATATTCTTTTTCATTGTTGTTGCACCCAACTTGACATAAGGAATTTGGCTTTCATTTGCTTCTTGTTTTTATACTTACATTCATTCACATTTGATGTTTCGAGATGATAGAATAAAAAGTGGAATGTTCTAAAAATATTTTTTTATGTATTTATGTATAAACCCAATTCTGTTTCATTCTGTGACCTAAAATTCCAGGATATTCCATATACAAGAAAGAGTTCTATTATATGAAAATTTAGAAACATTCTATTCAATTGGTAGACTCATAACGATTGAAAACAATGTTTTTGTTTGAGTTTGGGTTTGACCAATTCGTAAAAAAAAAAAAAAAAAAGACTAATTAAGGTGTCCGTCAACCTTAAACAATAATCTTTGTCAATTTTATTTTTCAGTCTTTATGATGGTCGATACTTGATCTATCTCTTACTGTTACATCCCCGGGCATCACCGGGCTCTACTGCTAGTTGTTAATAACTCTAATTTTCAGTTCCTTTACTTCATAAGACAACAATTAACCCGTAAGTATATTTTGGCTTATCGTGTCCATCATGCTATTATCTTAAGTATTTTTCTTTTATGTGCCGTGTCCATTCAGGACGTAGGTGATCATGACTCTTCACTTCCCCCGTCCCTTGTAGTTCTTAAGATATTTTGCCATTTTGCTACGTCTCCCAAACCTTGTGCTGTCATCCACTTGCTTAAGCCCGCTACGTATATCACGCGTTGCTTTCCCTTGCTTCTCTTTCCTTCTATCCGCCCTGTGAGTATAAGATTCTCCAAGCCAGCCTTTCTCATTACGTGCCCCAGAAATTTCAGCTGCCTCTTCCTGATGTTAAGTATAAGCTTCCTCCTTGCTTGCATCCTCTCCAAAACCTCATCGTTGCTGACATATTCAGTCCATGGCACTCTTAGCATCCTTCTGTAGAACCATACCTCCGTTGCCTCACGTCTTTTCTTCATCTTTGAGGAGACTGTACAACATTCACTGCCGTAAAGGAGGACATATATCACATAGCAGTTCCGTACTCTTATCTTTGTTACCAACGAAATCCTTCTGTCTCGTAATACTCTACCTAGCTTTTGGAATACGTCTTTGGCCATCCCAATTCGTCTTCGGATCTCAATGTCGCACTTACTGTCCTCTGTCAGAACACTTCCCAGATATTTAAATTTCCTCACCTGCTTAATTTTGGTTCTTGTAGTTTATGATTAGTCCCTTTTTCTCGCTCTCCTTCCCTAACTTCTGCAGGAGGTTTTGTAATTTCCTTTCCGTGTCTACTGTCAGCAGTGTGTCATCTGCGTATGTTGTTAAGATTGTGTCAGCCAATGATGAATCCTGGTAGGATCTCCAATTCTCTCAGTCCGGTGAGAAGACGCATCCTTGCCTTACGCCCCTGTCTATTTTTGTATATCCGCTGAACTCTTTCTCTAGCCGCATGCAGGCCGTTTGTTGCCAGTAGAGGTTCTTGATTATTCTAATATCTCTCACAAATAATTTTGTAAAAACTCGTAACAAAAGCAAAATTCAAAATAGAATAAGAAAGAAACAGAATAAAGGGTGTTGCAAATAAATTTCAGAAAACAAGGAAGAAAAAATCTGCTTCATTGTTGCGTTAACTGCATATTTCCGACCAATGACGAGGTTCCGAAAGTTTACCTTTTACACAAAGAATCATATCTCTTGGAAATCTGATAAAACTCAATACTCCGCAAATACCTTCATACCCTTTAAGAGCAGGATTTCGAATGTTGATCTTTTAGACAAAAGCATGCGTTCACAAAATATGTTTGTTTTGTTTTGTTTTACGGTATATCAACCTCAATGGGTTATTTAATGCCGATTTTAATTGCTAGTAATATTTTTTTTAAAAAAATGTATTTCTGCTAATATTTATTTTCTTTAAAAATGCATTGCTGGTATTAAAATCTATTTTACACTTTCATAGTGTTTTGATCCCAGTTTGGGGTTAACTATTTATCCATAGTTGGGACCGTAACAGGTGCTACCATGCCGGGGCAGAGTGGACCTAAGAACACCAGCAATTAAGAGGTGGTTCCACGCTCCTCAAAGCCTCCTAATCAGAGGCCTTGCTGTTAGATGTAGTTTAACATCTTACCTTAGAAGTGGGTGTAGTTTATAGTCATACCTAGGACGGTCAGAAAATATAAAAGTTACATTGTTCGAATAAAATTAGCCACGGGCAAACAAGAGTAATTTTATAGAGTAAATTATTGAGTGAAAACATAGCTCAAATACACCAATGCTTCTCGAAGAAGTTATATCTTCTTAATAATAATAATAATAATAATAATAATAATAATAATAATAATAATATTAATAATAATAGTAGACGAATGCAACCGACCAGTTACAGAAGCGATGGCAAGATAAACCGCTTCATGGCCAATACTCTGCCCGTACCAAACAAGCTGACGTAGACAAAACCCGTACCCATCAGTGGCTACGTAGTGCAGGGTTGAAAGCGGAAACTGAAGGTTTTATCCTTGCTGCGCAGGACCAATGCTTGCTAACTAGGAATTATCAAGCACATATACTAAAATATTGTGTCAGCCCAAAATGCAGATTCTGTGATAAATATCCAGAAACGATTGATCATCTTGTATCAGGTTGTACAGTGTTGGCACCCACTGAATATAAAACCCGACATGACAGAGTGGGCCAATATCTGCACTGGAAAATCTGCAACTTCTACGGGAAGAAAACTGAAAGAAACTGATATGAACACCACCCAGACCCGGTTACGGAGATAGGACCTGTTACAATTCTATGGGATTACACAATACACACTGACAGAACAATCAAGGCCAACCGGCCAGATATTGTTATTAAAGACCACAAACAAAAACGGTGCCTCCTTATTGATATGGCAGTCCCTGCTGACTGCAATGTATCTTTGAAGATATTCAAAAAGTTGTCAAAGTACAAGGACCTTGATATAGGAATCTCGAAAATGTGGCATATGGGAACATCAACAATCCCTGTTGTAGTTGGAGCCCTAGGACTGGTTGGAAAAGATTGCAGTAGACTAACTGAAGGGGTTCCTGGAAATCCATGCCTCAAGGAGCTACAAAAAATTGTTCTGACAAGTACAGCCCACACCTTA